GCCCGGGGGCGCCCGCTCTGCCCCTCTCTGCCCCGCTCTGCCCCGCTCTGCCCCGCTCTGCCCCGCTCTGCCCCGCAAGCGAAAGGGAAAGCAGAGCAGAGCGGGGCGGCGGGGCCGCGGGGGCCGGGAGCCCTTTGCGGCGGCAGCGCCTGCTGGCTCAAGTCTCCGTGGGGAAACTCAGGTGCACGTCTGGCCGGCCGCCTCCTCCGCGGGCCTGTGCCCGAGCGAGGGGACAGCCATGTCGCCTGCCGTGCGGACGGCGCTTCTCGGGAGCGCTCCGGGCTGCAGCGGCGCCGGGGAGGAGGTAGAGCCTCCTCTCGCCGCATCCAGGGATGCTGCGGGCAGAGCTGGGAGCCCGCAGCGCTGCCCATCGGCCACCTTTGCAAACTTTCTGGTGCTTAAAATGAAACGCCGAGCCCGAGGGTGCTCAACAGCTCTGTCTTAGCTCTGTTGTCCCCCGCGGAGAGGAACTGCTGTCATGTGCTGTGCCTTCCCGCCTTTGGCACTTCTGGTTGTTTTCCTCCCCCCTACTGGCACGTATTAAAGTCCCTGAGAGTCTTTCATTGACTCGTTCTTGTTAATTTCTGGACTTTACCATGAAACTCTCTCGTGTCATGGATGCTCATAGTGTCCCTTCTCCCCTTTTATTTGCCTCCGTTCACCTGCAATACTTTTAGCACTGCATGGGACTCCTACACCAATTGCAAGATACTTAATAATTTGATATAGAAACAGTATTTGTGAGGTGTGCCGTTTATAAACAGGCATGATTCAGTGTGCCCTGTGCTGAAAAATTGGATTACTTCCTTTAGTTGTGAGTGACTTTCTGTAGAGGGGCATCTTTCTTACAAAACAGGGTTTATTAATAGCAAGTTAGAAAATGTATGTGCTCCTCAGTTTCTTCTGGAAATTATGCAACTCTAGAATTAACCTTCCATCTTCTTTCTGTTATGCCACACACAATGCAACTTACACAGGCACATTCTTCCTGAAGAGAGTTTTGTCCCATGAAGGCAAACAGACAGTTGAGAAGAGTTAAACCCACAAACAAAAAATTTTTTAAAAAAGATAAAAATCTCAAAAGCGTTTACTAAACTTAGTTCACTCTTTGTTCTCTCACAGCAGTCGGACTGACACATGCCATCCTTATTTAATAAAAATAAAAATATACTTAGGCTGACAGACACAGCTGAAGATGCAGTTATTTCTTACTCTTTCTGTGTTGGCCTTTAGATTAGTCTTTCTCAGATATTCATATTCATTCCAGTTTTTGTAATTAAAAAAAAAAAAAAAAAAGGCCAGGGAACAGCTTTACTTAAAGAACCATGGGGGAAAAGGGAGCAATTACTATTTTTGGATGGTCTTTAAGGACCTGGTAGTGTGTACATAGATTTTCTTGTACAACTTCAGCACCGCATTACATTAATAAATCGCTACTGTTGTACCAGCCTTTAATGGTGTTCTTTCTAGTCACTAGAAGTAGTAACAATTTACCTAGCAGTTCACTATTTGCTTCAAAATATGTTCCTTTGAGTGCTTTTAAAATGTCTTCTGAGAGTAGTTGTTTATTGATTTGGAAGCCACTTGTTTAGTCTTGTTAACATTGACATTTAAAAACCAAAATAAAACAGGATTAAGGAGGGGGAAGCATTGACTAGTCTTAAGTACTTGCAGTCTTGCAGTTTTGATGCAGAGGGGCAATATGGTAGAATGTTGAAAACTTGGTTATGCTGGACACGTGCCACAGCTGTTCTGTGAGCATCTGCCATGGCACAGAGAACTCTGGGTACTAATTCCTAGTAGTGGAGGCTGTGGGACTGGGTTCTTAGCTCCCTGGTTTGATTTCACTTAGGAGGAACTAACACTTGCATCGTGACACTTTCCAGGGAACCAATATAATTAATGCATCTTTTTTTTTTCATTTGTAGCTGATATATGATAGTTTTGCCCAGTATCTGGTTACAGAGAAGGGTTATGACGAAGACCTGCTGACTCTAGCTCCAGACAACTTAGACTTCTGGTGAGTATGTTGAAAAGAATGGAAACTTTCTTCATAATTTCCTTTATGCTGTAACTTCTACACAGGTTGGAAAACAGCTTCTCTTATTAGGTGGTTGTTGGTATGATTGTCAAGTCCAATAGATAAATCCAAATGTACAGTTTTAAATACTTGTTCAAACAAGTAGTCGTGAGATATTTCTAGTGTGGTACTTTGAAGAGAAAACTGGGCCTCCAAGCTTGCTGTGTCCATGGTTCTAGTTGTCTAGACACAAGCCTTTCAGTCTGACTTATTTTAGTCTCTTATTTTATATACCTCCTTTGCCTCCTACCTTCAATTCAACTTGTAAATCTAGTAGGTGTTTATTTAAATAATGCACACATTATTGTGTAAAGGTTTTGATCGTTTGTTTTTACAATTCAGTACTTGACTGTACAGTTTCCAATGAGATCGATTCCAACTTTCATGAGACAAGCAATGGTATCTGTATTTCTCATCTTTTGAGGCCTCTGATGCATGAAATCTTGTGTTAAGATCTAGATATCTCTAACTCTTATTGAAGCTGGAGGTTCATTAACATGGTCCTGTAAGACTGCAATGCTCATAGCCCAGGGTTGGTGCTACTCACTCAGGGGTCAGTTGTGAAAGGCTGGGGTTTGCTTGCTGCCTTCGTGGCATATCTCCTCTCCTGTGGGTGCACGATGACACAGGATGAAGGTGCAGTTTCATTATTATTCTAGCCACTGAACTCTGAATTAATTTTTCAAACAACCTAAACAAACGTAGATTTGATTATCTGGAAGGTACAGATTTACTAGCAGAGTTACAGACTCTTGCTGAGTGTCTGTTCTACACTGTCAACTCTTCACCTTGTTAACGCTGGCTAGCGTGGCAATCACAAAATAGTCATGGTTGGAAAGCGCCTCTGAGATCACCGAGTCCAAACAATGCTGCTTCAGCTTTTGTTCCTTGGATATTTGGTTGCCTCATGTAGAACTACGTAGTCTACATACTATATCTCCCTCCCTTGATTATTTGTGTTATCGGTCTAGTAATAAGAAGTAGAAGAGTTGCCTCCAAGAAAAAATATTTAAGCCACTTCTATTACAGAAGTATATCGTATTTCTTGGTTATAAAAGTTTGGACCTTAATCCTTCAACCTTATCTAGATGAACAGTCACTGAACTCCCTGAACAAAGAAACTAGTTTTCTTTAGTAGGAATTTACTATGTAAGTGAAATGCAGTCCTCATTGTAGTAATATGTATTTGCATGTGTAAGACATTATTCAAACATGGAAGTATTTGAAGGGTTGTAGTTTTGGTGCTTTTGTGTAGCATCATTGTACAGCTTCTGTAACTGTGTTTCAATATTCTGGTATATAACAAGGCATTCCTCTTAAAGCATTAGTTTTTGTTTCTTCCTTAAAATATTTTTTTGCTTAGTTGTAAAGGCTTGGTGTTGGACATTGAAGAAGGAAACTTCGTGAAACTTGCAGAAGATGGAACAGTTTTAAGGTAATATTGTCAATGTTTTTACCATTAAACAAACACTGAAACTTTACTCTCTTTCTGAAAGCCATCTCTCAGTTGTATTAAATATTTAAAATAATCATTTCAGCATAGATTCCTTTATTAGATGTAAAATTTTAAATACTTTTTGATATTGTGGTGTTCAGTTTCTCAGTGTTACTGTAACAGTCTTTTTGCAATATTTTTACATTCTCTGCTAGTAAAGAACATCTAATTTTTAGTAAAAGGTAAGACTGAGTGCATACTGATCTTGAAAGTAAATTCACTTTTTTGATTGCTATGAATGTACTCTTTCTCCCATTCTGCTAAGATACAGGGCAAGAATTTCTTTGATTTGTGAGTAACCTGACAGTCAGTGCTAATTACAAATTATAATAATGGGAGCACTAGTATCTTTTTAAGATACACATTCAACATTCTGCAGACTTAGAACATATAATTTAAATAGCCTGAGGTAAAGGAAAGATAGAAACTGACACATTCACTTCCAAAGTCTGGGATTTTTTCCTCTTAAAAGCTGGATTTTGCTTTCAGTCATCTTTTCAGTACGTCCTTAGTTCCAATTTTGCCCTTTTTTTAAACATAGACTACAGTTTTGAATTGCAAATCTGAAAAGTAAATCTGTCTAAAGTATGTAACTTCCAGTCCCATTCCCCCTTATTTTTTTTCCCAATTGGAAATCTGTAATTAGTACTTAAGATTGACTCTACTTTTGCTTTCTGTTAGCGTATGGGAGAGGAGTTTGAAGATGCTAGGGAAAATCAGATCTCATTGAAAGAAGGGAGGATATGCCTGTGAGTTTCTGCTGTGTATCCCAAAACTCATTTAGTATAATGAATTTTGGAGTGCTGAAGACTGGAGGGTATACCACAATAAAGGGAAGAGTGGTCAGGATTAGTTCTCCTAGCACTGTCTGCATTTGCTTCAAAACTGGAGCTGGTGCATTCTTTGGGGGGCCTAATTTGATGTTCAAGCTAGTTGATTTTTAATTCCTAAAAAGGCTTGTGTGTACTTCTGTATTTCACAGCTGCTTGCATCACCCAAACTAGCACTTCTCCGTAGTTCTGCCCTGCGCTCTCTGAATGTTACCAGGCTTCAGAATCATGTATAGGCTTTCCATGCTGTTTTATTGTGCAGTGTATATTGAAAGTTCAAGTATAGCGAGTGTGTGTGTGTCCTCACACAATTGAGAACATTCGAGCAATACAGAGTCATTGCGTTAGCAGGTGAGGCACAGTAGCTGTGCCCCCAGCCAACCAAACCTCTGTGTAGTAGGGCTTTTACTGAGGACTGTAATGTATATGATAAAAGCTTAGGTCCTGCAAAACGTTTAAGTTATAAAGAGAGTTAGTTCTGATCAACTTGCATGACTTCAGTGTTCAGTTGCAACGCATTACTTTGCACTAAGGAGTAATTTGGCTGTTTTCAACCTTTTTCATCTTCTTATATAAATGATTTAATACCTCAAATAGGGCAAGCCATGGTACAAAGAGCATGACACCTGAAGAGATCCTGGAGACGTATGGAAGGAGGGAGTGGAAGCATTTTAATACAGTCAGTGGAATGGTTTCCCGCTCAGGTAGCTATACTTTAGCATGTCCTCTTTGAAATTGCTTTGGCCTCTTCAGTGCCTCATAATACTAGTTCTTGACACAAAAAATTAAAAATATTTGAGCTGAGAATTACTGGCATAGGTAAATGTTTTGGGGGAGAGTTGATTTTTTTTGTTTTCAACTTCTAGCACTAGAGTTCAACTTAAATTTAGGCAACTAGTGACAAGACAAATGAGCTGACTTTGTAGGTGTGTTTTGGTCATAGAGATTGTTCCTTGATGAAGTAGGCTGAGATTACCAGCCAATCTCATTTAAGACATACTTGTCAAATCTTACATTTTTAATTGTCAACTTGTTACCATCAGTGCTGTTACTGGAGGCCTATGTGCAGATGCAAAGAACAGAGCAGATCTGGAAACAAAACTTGTCCTGCAGTTGAAGTTTCTTGGTTTTAAGCTGGGAGTCACTTTGAAGGAACTGTGACTAGGTTTGTGTTCTTGCTCTGTGCTTCCTCTCCGTTTTACTTTGATACGGGCAGTCAAGAGTAATACACATAAAGTGCTCAGTTAAGTTACGTTGTCCTGTGAAATGAAACTCTCCTTGAGATTTTGCTGACATAAAGTTGTGCTTATTCTAAACTGTGTGTAATCATTTGCAACAAGGTAGAAGAGGTTTCCTTTTGTAATATAGCAAATGTGCCCTTCTTATTCATTGAAAAGTGCACTTGGTCTCTCTTGTGAATGTTAATCTCTGTTTTGCTGACTTGTCTCTTAGGTATATTGACAAATAGCACAGACAAGATCATGAATAAAAAAACCCCACTGGTTAAGTCCTTCCGCTCCTCGGAAACTTGTTGAACATGACCTCAGTCTGGGGGGACATTTGGACCCTCCTGATTTTGTTCTGTTTTAGGAGCTCACGTAATGATGTGAGCATGCTTCCCCTTGGGCTGAAACACTGTCTGCAGCATGTGTGTGCAAAGGACAAGACTATGTGTAAGACCTGTACAAATGGTTCTGAAACACCTTCTCATACCTTTTGTTTCCACTGCTAGGGAAACAAATACTTTGGAAGAGTTGAGTGATGCTGTTCTGACTCTTAAAAGTTATGGTTCTCCCCCATCTCTTTCACCTTAACTTTCAGAATCTTAAAATGTATTTTTAAACTCTCTGCCTTCATATAGATGAACAGCTTTCAGTTCCTAGTTATCAGAGTTAGAAATAGGAATAAGGGTTAACAAAGACTGGGAAACAGATAATGCTTATTACCAGTAAAATCCAAATGGGAGCTTGTACTATTACATAAATGTATTTAATCAATTTGTGATTAAGACATACTGTAAGGATTTTTCAAGTAGATTCATTTTTTTTAATTATTTTTTTCCAGCTAAATACTATTTGTATGATAATTACTTTGACCTGCCAGGAGCCCTCTTGTGTGCAAGGGTTGTGGACAGCTTGGATCAGGTAAGATCTGGATTGTTTGAAACCTTTCATTATCTTTCTCTTCCCTCGCCACTCTTCCTGCATGTATTACTAAATGAATTCAAAGACTGTACAGAAGAACATCAAGGTCTTTAGCTTTTTTCTTTTTTGGAATTTTTAATGTAGGACTTAGTGTATTAAAGTTGTCTCTGAAGCTAATTGTGAGCTTCATGGCATGTTCAAAATAAATGTGCTTCCACAAGAGGGCACAAATAACTAGGGTACACATTGAAAGGCACTGTTTTCTCAAGTTTACTCTGTGATATGCAGAATATAGTTCTTAAAATCACCTTTAATTATACTTCATTATATTTGAATTAAATTTAAGGAAAGGCTTCTGAATAGCACAGTTTGGTAATTTGCAAGCTGTTAATGAGTTGAAAACTTAATTCCATCCTTTTATAAACTTGTTTTTGTCTTAAATATATTGATCTTTGTGTACAGATGTAAATACACCTCTTAAATAATATCCAGGGTTTTTTTTCTCTGCTAAACAGTAAGTTTAATTCTTAAGGTGGAAAATATAATTGCTTGAACCTTTTTCAGTGCTTCTTAGATGAGACAGAAGGTCCTAAATCTTACCTCTGAACTTTTATGCTGATTGATTTCGTAGTGTTTTAAAGAATCTTTAACTTGTGTGCAGCTGGGTGTAGGAGAGGGTTCTCTTACAGTAAGTATATTAGTGTCAAAAGGGTACCAACGTAATCTTCTGGCTAAAAGTACCCAGGTGCTGCAGCACTGACAATTGCAGATACTAAACTTTGCCTGCAGAGTGAAATTTAGAGTGGTGAGATTTGTGTCTGGGATCCCTTTGCATACCAGCTGACTTGATGGTTTAGCTTCCGCTCAAAAATAGCATGCTGAGTAGATTGCTGCCTAAGTCCAAGTGCTGCACAAAGAGTTAGCTAAAGCTAGCTTATCAGGAAGCACTGAGGACAGGTGCACTGTAAGACTCTTAGTTTTGTGCATGATTAATCTCTTTCATCTACTGTTTGTGGCTTAGAAACTTGACACAGATGTGACACTTTTATTGTATTGCTTCATTTTATATTTTATTTGGATTATCGGCACAAATCACCTACTTTTTGAAGGAAAAAGCATATTATAGCATGCATGTAATAAGACTGAACATTCAGTTACTGGTTTGCAAGTTAGAACACTGACCTTGGGTCAGTGCTGCCTTCAGCCATGGTGAGTTCAACTTCTGCCATTTCTCTAGAGAGCTACCAGAAGAGGGTCATGCATCCTCTTTTATCAGCTAGCAGCTATCAAGTATTTTACTGTGCTTTAGCTGGTTTTAATGAGAGTGCCACAGTAATTCCCTGGGATGTTATCAGCAACCAGCTAAGAATGATGCAAAGCAGGTGTTGGGCCTCCAGCACTTATGTACTACTCCAGTACTATATGTACTACAGTACATATAAACTACCAGGTTTTGGGCGTGCAACATGCTGCATCCTAAGGATTAGAAACCACAATATTTTTTTTCTCCACATTTCTGAAAGGAAGTAGAGGCTTCTGTTCTGGGACCCTGTTTAATAAAGGCTATTTTCTTATCATTTTCAGAAAATATTATAGGATTAGGAATGCTTCCTACTGGAAATTTGCTAGGAATATGTTTAACAGTTATTTTCAACTCTGAGGTCAAATGTTTTGAAGGAAACATACCCACAGCTGTCCTCAAAACAGCAGTCTGAGAAACTGTTAGCCCATTGCACTGATTTTTTTAAAAGAATCAAACAAAAAAACTGAAATGCCAAACTAAAGAGCAAGTCAGCTGCATGGAATATAAGGGGAGCGAAGAGTTTAATCTTCCTGTGCCAAGGTTAGCGTCATCACTATTCTAGGCAGAGAAGCTCCCTCGCGTATCTCCTGAACATAACTGAACAATTACCTCAGCAGCTAATGGAAGCTTGACATATATGAAAGGTATTCTGTTAGTCCTTTTATGTATTTCTTTGGCAGTCTGCTACAGGAATGGATTAAAACAAAACAAACAAAGATAAAAGCCACAGCATTGTATCTTTATAAAAGCCAGAGCATTGTATCTTTCCTTCTCTTAACCTACAGAGCTGGTGGGTGATAAGCAGATTGCCATATTGCTTGTCAGTTGTGCACAAAAAGCCTTGTTTGTATGACTTGCTGGTTGTGAAATTAAGGGTGGACTTTTCTTCTGGAAACCTCCACAGCAGATTGTCTGAAATGGCAGTTTACTACAGTACATATAAACTACCAGGTTTTGGTTCATGATGTAAAGGATTTGGTTTTTTGTTTGTTTGCTGGTTGGTTTTTTTCAGTTTCTGAATGTTTTCCTCTCTAGAAAAAACTTTATGCTTACGAAGTGGTTCATTATTCAGGTTATCAGTGCAATGGTCAGGGCACAGAGGACAACTAAAATGTACTCTTGTGCAGGTGTGGAAAGCCTGCAATAACAACACTACATGATACTTTACACAGTAAGTGAACTCAAAGAGATGGTAACACTTGCTTTGCTTCTGCCCAGTAATTTGTAACCCTGGGCACCTCTGACAGGCTCTGTAGCTAGTCCTGTTCTCTTTAATATTGGCTGGCTGTGTAACTGTATCTGTGTTTAATTCAGTGCTCTTAAAATCTGTGGGGTTTGAGAGCGCTGTGAGGCTCAGTTGCTTGAGAAGCTTTTCCTGTCCCTTGGTGAGATGCTGAATGTGTGGATGAGGTCAAGCTCTTCTGTGCCTGGGCAACTTTCTAGGAATGGCGAGAGACTGTTCACAAGTGCAGATCATCTTCCCTTGTCTTTCTGCCAGAGCTGGAGTTTGGCAGTCTTCAGAGTACAGTGTAACACAGTGCTGCTCAGCCTGGCTTCTGGAGGAGTATTTAATTCAGTGTTGGTGGTGGAGTGTTGGCAGAAGGGCATTACCTCTGTATTCTAGCAAAGGGCTTTGCCAGTTCTGAGGGTGAAAGGTTATAGAGTACCAGGCTGTAGATAATGTCAACCTGTTAATTAACTACAGCATTTGCAGAGACTTCTTTTTCCCAAATGTCAGTGGGATGACTCAGTCAGTAAGTTGCTGTTCTGTCTAATGTTCCCTTTTTCGTAATGTTTTAGAGCTCCTCGCATACGAATCCTCTCTCCTTTCTCTTTCTTTCCCTTGCCCTACTATTTCCTTCTGAAGCAAGTAGGTAACTTGTCTGCAGTTACCCAAAGTTCACAGTAAAGCTGGGTAGAGTCCTGATCTCCTGAATATTACTATCTAATAGTGTTTTACTCTGTTTTGCAAATACTTTTGTTTATTAATGACATTCCTGTCACTGTTCCAGTATGAAAGCTCAAAATAGCTGACACTTCATGTAATGACTCGATTCCTTTTGACACTTACAGCATGATGGTCAGAAAAAATATGACTTCTGGAAGGACATGGTGGCTGCTATCCAGCACAACTACAAAATAACAGCTTTTAAAGGTAGGTGGGTTCACTGAAAACTTACTGTACTAGCTGAAAATATTACATGTGCTTGCTAGAACACATTTGCAACTACACTGTAGGTTACTCAACACAGCTTTTACTTTTCAATCTTGCAAATGGTTATGTGGTAGACAGATGTTTATCCTGAAATAGAGCGTCTTTAGCATTTTTATTTCTATGTAGCTTCGCTGGAACTCTTACTATTTTTAAGCAACACTTGTGATATGCCACTTCATTGAATTTGGAGGGGAAAATGGTTTCTTCCTGTGATTGGTATGGTAATGTAGACATCCTTGAACTGTATTTTTTCCCTATCCCTTGTGGTGTTGTACTTCTAAAGAAGATCAGAATGCATTGGGGAAAAAAGAAAAGTAGTAACTAATCTTTGATAATTTTCTTTAGCACTGTAGTTATAATTATAATTCCTTATGTAGAATTGACAGAATGAGGGGGAAATAGTTTTCCTATTTCTTAAAACTTTTTAAAGTTCTGTCATTCTTGTATCATTTTACTAGAAATTATTGAGGTGGGGTTTTTTTCTTAATAATAGCCTTCTTCCACCGAAAGCAAACTTTATAATACTGTAATATAAATCAAAGTTGGAAAACATCTTGGATAGCCTTCCACTAGAAATCATTTTCCTTCTTCAGAGACTGAACTTCTGGGTTTTTATTAGGCATATAAAATAATAACTGGAAAATACAAATTAATAATCTTCCAGGTGTGTACTTTTAATTGAAATTATTTCTAACTGTGGGCTTTTTGTAAAAAGGTTATCTGCAGATCAGTTCAGATAGAATTGCCTCTGTTAATGCAACATTTGTTAGTTACAGGCGTAGTTTGCACCTTCTTAAAACTCAGTTTTGTTCACCAGAACTATACTACTTTACCTGTTCCTCTAGGGACTCACTGATACATGAAATAAATATATACTTTATTTTCTGCTGATATTAAAGCCATTCTAATAAACTATTTTTAAATGGTTCTGTTCATTCTCTTTTCAAATTATAAGCTCTTGGTTTTAAAAGTTGTGGATTATTCAGTACTTGGCAAAAAGAATAATTTTTAAAAGAGTCATTTGTGAATTAACTAGATGAAACAAGTTAATGTCTGATCTTTGAAATTAGAAATAATAGCTTTGTTTTATTTCTATGAGTGTCTGCTTGTGTGTACATGTGTATGTTTATGCATGTATCTACCTATCTGGTACCTGTGTGTGTATGTGAGCAGGAAATCTGCATACAAACAGATGTGTGGTGTGACCTAATCCTGTCTAACTGCTATCAGTATTGGTACTTAATTTAATACACCTTTATTTCTGTTACAAGTCATGAGGCATGTTCACAATAATGCTAAAAATATAAGAAATAACTGATAGGCATTAGTCTCGATAAAGCTCTGTAAAATCAGAAGTAAATTTGCTTTTTTGTAATACACTACTTAAATATTTTAATACATTAATGTACTGTGCTTTGTCATGCAGCAATTTGAAAGGCCTCATTGTGATCTTATTTTCCCATTTCATAATGTCCTGTGGATAAGTCATTGCACAGGGGGTCAGAAGAACCAAGGAATTTCTTCCTGTATCTGTGATATTCCCATGAAGTATCTCTTTATTTCAGGTTACCCTGTGAAATAAGACTAATGGTACTAATCTTCTGTCACAAGTTTGTGCCAAAGAGATCTTTTTTTTTTTTTTCCTCAGCTGCAAGCTTAACATTATTTCCTGAGGAAACTCCTAAACCTGGCTCCTGCCTAACATGTACATACCAGGAAGCCCCACCATCTTTCTTAGCCCAGAGTTTGGCCTGAAAACCACAACCTGTTAACTCCATACCTTTGATGCCTTGTTAGAGGGTTTAACCCTTCAGAGAAAAGCAGTGCTTGTTTAACAGTTAGGCAGGGTAAAATTTCTAAAGCAAACTTACTAAGTAGTCATTTGAGGAAACACAAAGTTCCCAAGTTGAAATGCCATCTTAGTAGTGCCATTGTCAGTGATGGAGCAGAACGACTGACCATTTCATTTTTTGAAATCTGTGAGTGTTTGCAAATCACTTTGCTTTGTTGACAGTGTGCGCTTGATTCTCGATGTCCCTTTTTCACATGATTTCTTTGATCATAATCAGTTGTCTGGTGGATTTTGCTTTTCATTGTCTTAGCTATGGTAATTGCCTTAGATAATTACACTATGATTTATTTTTTTTTGTAGCCATATTGTCCTGACTCAACTTAATGAAGGGTGTTAACCCACCCTTCTGTTTGTAAACAAGTGAAGAATTGGGGCTTGCAGAGGAGTGGAGAGTAAGAGAGTTCCAGTTTTTAGCTTGCATGAAGAAATGATGATCTTAAAAAACTTAGAAACATGAGCCTATATGCTTATAGATCAAGTTGTTAAAAACTTCAGTTTAAAAAAAAAAAAGCTAAAAATATTAGTTCAAGAGTTGATAAGGTTTTGATGTATATCATACTTTTAAAGCATGTGAATGTTGGTCGTCATTGGAAGAAGCGTGTGATCAAACTATTATGGTTTGATAATTTATAAACAATAATTTTGCTAAGCTTGCTTACTTAATACCATTAACTTTTCATAGTGATGTAACAGTAATGTTTGTGAGACATGAGTGTATGTAGTAAATACAATTATGTCTACTGACTGTCTCCAATTTTGGGGTGGTAAAGCTGCTGTGCTTTTATGTCTGTATGCTTGTGAAGATACACTCTTCTGGATTGGTGATAGTTGTTTTATTGTACTCTGAACATTTTAGTTTTACAGAATGTTAGGAGCTTAAAAAAAAACCGAACAAGCTTGTTGCTGCAGATTATAATTCTGCATCAAAGAAAGCTGAGTAGATTTCTAGGCTTCAAATCTGGTTGCTTTTTCATATTGTGGAAGTTCTAGATCTTCAGTAACACATAATGGCTTGAAAAGCTGCCTTTCTGCAAGATAGTTATTCCTTAAGAAAAGTGGAACTGTGACATGGTATGCACTATATTAGGATTGTTTTCTTGACTCCTGTTTGATAGTTTAAATATGAAACTGACAGCAGACTAACATTGCTAAAGTATATATTATCTGTTTTGATGACCATGCTGTGTCTGAGACTGTGTACTTTGAATAATACCTTCAGTTAATTCAAGTACAGGAAAGTATGATCAAGAGTCCTGGAATAGCTACTTTTTGTGTTATGAGAAGTGAAAGTTAGAAATTCTGTTTGTTTGGATTTTTTTAATAAAAAAGAAAGAAAAAAGAGAGAGACTGCTGCATTATATTAATTCATAAAATTTTAATGTTGCATTCATTTGGACAATTGATCATAATTTGAAAAAAAATTCTTATGAAAATCTGTTAAAACATATAATATTACTCTACTAGGTTTGAACCACTCTCTTCCACCTTCTCACTCCCTCCTCCATTTCTGTTGCAAAATTGAAGTTGCATGACCTGCTAGTGATGAATCAGATCAGCACCTTGTTAAAATTACCTGAAGGAGAAAGTGTCAGGATCTTTTAAGTGGGATGTTGTTAGATATGAGCAAATAGGAAACCTGAGAAAGAAGAGTGAACATAGTCAGAGGAATAGAGACCATTAGATTCTGAATTGGGCAGTTGGAGCCATACTTGATCGTTCTCCATGAGATCAATGACAGCACTGCCAGAAGCCTGGTCAAGGTATCCTTTCTTGTACTCATCATATGTGTACATGAGTGGGGAACCATTTTTGTAGAGCGCAACCCAAACGTTTGTACCTTTTGCATGTACATGGTAGGAGAAATAGTACAGTCCAGGGATCCTGCAGGTGAAGATTCCTGTTCTGGGGTCATAGTGTTGCTGCCTGTTGTACAAGATTTTATCAAATTTGATGGGGACTGTTGCCCCAGGGTAGGCTTTTGAGAGGATGACACTGAAAGCAGAAACAGGCATCCCTGTAAGAGCTTGGTTTACTCCTTTCACAAAAGACATTCCTGACTCTCCTGCTTTAATGTAGCCTTCGGGCGTCTGTGGGATTATGGCTTGGCCAGGGGGACCAGGAGGACCCGGGGGGCCTGGCAAGCCAGGCTCTCCATTGTTCCCTTTGGGCCCTGGGGGTCCAGGGGGTCCCATGGGTCCACTTATGCCTTTTGTAGAAATACCTGCTGGGCCTGGCAGTCCTGGTGCTCCTGGCTCACCTTTTGCACCAGGGGCTCCTGGCAGGCCAGGGGGGCCAATGGGGCCTCTGGTCCCAGGTATTCCTGAAGGCCCTCTGGGGCCTGGCTCACCATTGATCCCTGGCAGTCCCTTAGCTCCTTGTGGACCCATTGGGCCAGGCAAGCCAGGCAGCCCAGCATGGCCAGCATCGCCCTTTGGACCTGGGAAGCCTGGGTGTCCCTTAGGACCAGCAAGACCTTGCTCGCCTGGGTATCCTGGTTTTCCCTCTAATCCTGGTAGGCCTCGTTCACCCTTAGCTCCTGGGAATCCTGGGAGGCCTGCAGGGCCCATGTCACCTTTGGGCCCGGGCAGGCCATTCTCACCAGGCAAGCCTTTGAGTCCTTGAGGGCCCATGTTCCCTGGTGGCCCAGCAGGCCCCAGTTCTCCTGGAACACCAGCTGGGCCTCGGTCTCCTTTAGGTCCTGGAAGGCCAATAGGACCTTCAGGGCCTCTGTGTCCTTTCATTCCTGGCAATCCTGGCTTTCCAAATCCTGGGAGACCTGGGGATCCAGGCAAGCCTGCAGGTCCGGGGTGTCCCTTGGCTCCAGGGATGCCTGCTGCTCCTGGTGGTCCCATTGGCCCAGGCTTGCCGACACCAGCTTCTCCAGGTTCTCCTGGGGGACCCTGGGGACCTGGCAGCCCAGCTGCTCCGGGTGCACCTGGTAAGCCTCTGTCACCTTTCATACCTGGCTGGCCTGGAAGACCATTTTCACCAGGTTTCCCTATACCAGCAGGACCAGGGAGGCCCCGAGGCCCCTGTGGGCCTGGGAGACCCCTGCTACCTGGGCGACCTGGAATGCCAAATCCATTTT